GAGACGACATACGACAAAGTAGAAACTTGCCATATAGTTATATGATAGTTCGGCAAAAGCCAGAACAAACATTTATATTTCGAATACTACTCGCAATGAATTTAGATTTCCATTTGCAAACATAAAACCTTGAAGTTAATCTTCAAAATCATTTCAGGCGCTAAACAAAATTAATAATATACAATAACGATTGATAAAAAGATCTCAGATCGTTCCCCTAAAACTCTGCAGTAATATATAAAACATGTTTGAAAAATATTTATTGGAAAATAAAAATAAAAATTAGTAGCATGACAATAAATGGTTAGTAATCATAAATCATCCTGTTGTTCCAGCTTCATCACCTAAAACATAATAGCAATCATACACCCACTAATATCATAAAACACTAAATCTTTCCTTTACACAAATTTAAATCTTTATTAAACTTAAATTCACTTAATTTTAAAATCAGATCATCAAGGCTTATCCTTGGATCTTAAATTATTTTCTATTTAATTAAATTTCAAATTTGATCATCAAGGCTTATCCTTGGATCAAACAGAACAACTTTGTTCTCCCCCACCCACTTAATTAGTGTCTAACGACCTCAAACGTCGATTCACTATCCAACCCTTTCTAAAGACCTAAGACTAATAGAAATTTTTAAACAAAACTAATCATTCAAATTAGGATAAACAGTGAAGAACTTCGGTTATTCATCCTTCACTTGACCCCCCCTCTTACCAGACCCAGGATAAATTTTAGACTTAGTAAGTTTAAAATAGTATCTAACGAACTACTCGCGTTCTAATTATACCTGAACCTTTAAGTAAGTTAACACCTTAACTTATACTAGTCACGAGAAAGTACAAATCATTCTTCGGAATAGATATACTTTTCTCTCCAACCCTGAACAAATAGACCCAGGCTAACCAAAAAATCGTAAGGACTAACAGTTTAAGCAATTAGAATTCACCTAATACCCTTTTGCATCCGTCATCCTAAACCTTATGTCATTTAAAAACCTAGGAAATAAACAAACAATCGTTTTACACAATTGTGAAATAGATAACAAAAAATACGACCTTGTAATCACACCTCATACACAAACAGTTGGATGCATTCGCACAAAACGACAAATACTAAAGAGAAAAATAATAACGAAACAAAGACAAATAACACGAAAAAGATTTTCAAAAAATCGAAACGCATTTTCAGAATCAGAAACCAACAGTTTAGACGAACTTTACAAACTAAAAGAATCAATAGATAAAAATTGCCCAATTCACGATCAATTATATTTCTCTGACTCAGAAACAACTTCAAATTCATCACAAAGAGGAAAAAGAAGAATAAAAAAGCAGTATAAACACAAACCAGTACATTTATACAATTAGAATCAACCAATTCGACACATTAATATTAACAGTCATCGAACGAAAAAATGAGTTCAACGCACACCCCAGGTTACGAAACTCCAGATGATGATGAAATCTTTCCTTTTATAGTAGATGCAGATACTGATAGAGGACAACATATATTTTGTAAAAATTTACTCTTAAATTTATTTGAACCCGGAATCAGTCCATGTAAAACAGAATTCCCAGATGTAAAAATCAAAAGACAAATCATAGACCACTACCTAAAAGATATATGCAACATAACACAACAGTATGGAATCTACTCCATAGAATTCACCTCACCAAACCATAATAATAGGAAATATACAATTCAAACAGACGATCTTGATTTAGAATTTTCAAATGTTTTTTCAGAATATATAAAAAGCATCCAATACCATAACTCACAAAGAGCAAACTCCATTTTCACTAATGAAGTTTTCGCAATAATATATAGTTATATTTCAATATTAGAAAACGAAATCCCATTAACAAATGTCTCACCGACAGAAACATCTAAACATTTAAGAGTACGACATGAAATCACACTACTCTCTAGTTATTTAAACATTATTAAAGAAAATTTCACGAAAGACGACGTTTCACAACATACCAAACACGATCTACAAAAAATTTTGGCATGGTTCATAATAGATTATTTCACACACAATATTGATTTAATTGCACAAGCAAGAAAAAATTTTAGACCCCAAAATTCGAATGATGATACCGCTATCACCGAACAATCAGATTATGTTTGGGACCCCGAATGGTCTCATCCCGCATTTATAAGCTTTCCACAATCAATCTCAAGTCAAGCAATAAGTACAATATCTTACATAAGAGATTATGTAAGAGTAATACCATTAACCATTGATGCAACACCATTAAACTATAATACATTTTTACCCGATACACAAAATAATAGTTTAAACTCTACAGTCATACACAACGAAAACCTCAATGGAACTAGGAATCTTACTCAACAAGATATCCAGACACCATCACACTTCATAAATGAAGAAATTGTACACACAACAACTACACAACAAAGTATTTCACCAATACGCCCAAATTTGACAACACCAAGAAATACAAATCCATCACAAACACAAGTAACCTTGCAATCAACCGTTAAACCTTCCGTTGCTCCAAAATATTCACATATGGATTACCAAACATATAGACCCATGACAATACCATCAAAATCACGCAAAACATTCAATAAAAATAACTTTGCAGACCACAATTATAATTATACACATCCATCAAAAACAAATTACCAACCACGAAGAAATTTTAACCAATATACAAGATCTCGAAACTGGGATAACCCAACGGCCCAATATAATTCAATAAATTTCCAAACAAATCCTCCACAGGATCACAGTGAAAATTACCCATTTTTTCAACAAAGTAAAAATTAAAAACAAACATCTTATCAAATGGATTACTTATCCTCAGATGATGATTTTTTACAACCAGACATATTTGCACCATATACTCAAGAATATCGTGGACAAGGAATACAGAAAACACGTACAAATCATAGGAATTTTTCCCCACAACCAATAGATGCACAACATCAACAACCAATTCAACAACAAAATCCAATTAATACACAATCTTTTCAACCAATTCAACAACAAAATCCAATGATGGCACACTCGTATCAACCAACACAAATGCAAAATGAAATACCACTCCCATATTATCTCCAACAACATGAAATAACAAGAAACCAACTTTCAAATTTTTCTCAAATGCCAAATGCAGCAGAATCATTACAAATGACAATGAATCCATACCTTATGGGTGGATCATCAATAACATCAAACAAACCTTTAATGGTTTTCACAGGAACAGACCCTGAATACTCTGTAGAAGATTATTTAAATGCAGTAACAGCAAAT